TCCGAAGTCGTCTGCCATAGTAGTTGTCATGATTCCCAGCATCTGACAGTGGACTTGATACCTTCTCAAATGTAGACGACTTCGGACTAGGTGCCTTCTACATAGTCGCCCTGACAACAAGACCAAGTTGCGACAACGAGGTGAACCCACTTTGATAAATCGAAAGGAGACTGCGATCACAACAGAGGCCACCACATTTTGGTCTTCATATATTCAATATATGCCTCAATCTACCGATATCTTTGTGTCTGTTGTTTAATTCTGCTAGACGCAAACTCTTTAGCATCATCGACAGTAGTTGTGAGGAGCTCTAAAAAGGCACACCTCTTGCTGAGTAGAAGGTAAACAAGTCAGAAGTTGTGATATAGCTGGACCTCACTTGTCTCTTTGACGAGTTGTAGCTTGACGTTGAGACTGGCAAGACTCATTGGTGATGCTGACTACGATGACGGAGAAACTTTTGGGAATGTTCCAAGTCCACGGTCCAACGCTGGGAATTATGATAACTATTATAGCGGAGGACTTTGGACAAGGTTTGTCCAACGAGATCATCCTGACGACTACACGAGCAAGTTGAGAAAATGAGGTCATGTCACTTCCATTCATCGGAAGGGGACTTTGACCAAAATAAAGGCCACAACATCTTGCTCTTTATATCTACGACAAAAGATGTATTGTTGGGCTGAATTTCGTTGCTGGCGAAAGTGTGCAAAAAAGCGACTCGTTGGTCGATCTCATCATCTACAGATTGGTCTTCCAGCGACGTTGGTGGCGAAGCAGCATTCGGTTCACTCTCTTTTTCCGGTGAAAACATGCTGAGCTTTCGTGTCTCATTTGACAGGCATCATCAAGGCTGGACATCATTAATTATCACTAACTTGAGCCTATGAGTAAAAATGATTCGTCTGAACGTATAGAATGGTTTGGTTAATTCATTTTTGTGCCTTCCCTTTGAATGAGCGTGTGTGCGCTGTTTGTGTATGTATGTGTATGCATGCGGGTACAAAACTCGAGTGAACATTTTAAGTAATAGGTTAATGATCTTTTTGACTAAGGGAAACACATAGCCATGATTGCACAATACCGAAAACTTGCCTTGCTTTGTTTCTGAACTTTTTGACAGGTCAACCTACCGTCTTCGAGGGATATCGAATGTCATCAAGCGAAAAGGTATAAGCTTAACAATGTGGAGAAATTATCAAAAAGCAATTCACTTTGTACAAAAGGTTAACTCCCACCAGGGATCGCTTCTGGCGCTGGAAGTTTATGAGTGGAATACTGAAAGTGAATACTGATCTTGCCTGAAAAGGAAGCGAACTCGCTTATGTATCTGGCCGCGTATATGTTCTGGGGTTATAATCAATCACTTCATCGCATTTATAGATTTTGTTACCTAGGCAAAATATCGCCAATTAGGCCAGGTTCGTGAAGACGTGAATTAACTTTTCGTGGAATTACTCTAATGCATTTCGTCCATACTCTCTAATGCACATACTACTCATTTATAATGAGTATACTAATGTTTCGAAGAGCCGTCATTAAAGTTACTAGTTAAAATAAATGTATCCCACCGACTCGTGGGAAGTTACGTTTGAAATGTACTTGGCTTTCAGCTTTTCTAGCTTTTGACAACCTCGATTTTTCATTGTAGGCAGGTACGCCGGTGAATACAAGAACGGTATTCGCCAGGGTCTTGGTCTACGCACTTCCGTGCCTTACGGCGAGGTGATCAACTTCTTTCCGGAGGAGGCGGCTGCAGCAGCAGAGATGGCTCTGGCTGCAAAACGAAAAGCGGGAGAGGAGCAATTCGCCAGCCTCTTTAGTGGAGGTCTTGGCAATGGCGGAGGTGTGAATGGAGGGCGAATTAGCGCTGGAGTCACCAGGCGGGGCAGCTGGACGAGTCAGCGGTCCGGTGATGCGATCGGCCCCGATGGAGAGCTCGAAGAGATGGAAGAGCCATACAGCAGTGAGTTTACGCCACCTCCTCTCTCATTCATACTACTTGCACTCAGTTCAAGTAGGCAGAAATTTTGCATATTTTGAAAAAGACGCATTTTGTGATGAAAGACTGATAGTGGAATTTTCCTAAAATCAGATGAATAAGCCTCAGAATCCCATTTAATTGCACTTAACTTTGCCTCTTAGTCGAGAGTTACTGATAGCCTCGAATGGTACTCATATCGAATATAATTAGCATCGTCGATTGCATTGGCAAATGGATAATTGCATACTTGACAATGTCTATTTCAAATGCAATTTTGGTGAGGCCTGGCTTGGATGAGATAGAATTTTGGGAGGCACCGCTGGGTGAAATTCAATGACACATGAGGTGAACTCGTTAGATTGTGAAGAAGCTCCACTTACGCGACGTAAAGTAGCTAGTTTCTTACGTAAAATTTACTGAAATTATATAATACTACCAACAGTAAAAACCACTATTTATGATGTTAAGTTTACTAACAACTGTTCGACTTCCTAAAAATGGAAGACGAGTCTTGATTTTCCTCTAAAAGTCACATAGCTGAGATACAAATGTCACCATATAAAGTTACATCACCATCTCACCAACATCTCTAACGAGATTCAAATCGTAAAAGTGCGGGTTTAAAGTCACTATAGGTTACACAAGCCAAACTGCTGAATGACGAAACACGAGAAGTAGGAAATGATAGATCAGATCTGATAAGATAGGATGAGATAAGATGATATTGGACGGGATGGGTTTGGATCTGTTGGGAGGGGATGGCATGAGAGGAACTTAGATTAAGCAACAGATTAGAAGAGATATGATGGCAGCGACTTAATCGTTATTAACAACATTTACTGGCGAATCGAGTTTATTATTATGCCTACTTTATTTCGTATGAAAGGGCTTAATAAGGAGATTCATAGCTCAATCTAACCAGAAGTCGATGGTTCATTCCCGCTATTCAGTGGGCATTTGGCTTTAATTCGACCTTCCGTTTGACGCAGTCTACGAAACATCCTCCCTCGCTTCGGATGAAAAGGAGCTTAGTTTTTGCTCGACATATGACGAACATTTTCAGAGATTGGAATAATTCTTACGCTAAATCACCGACTATATCCTACCTGCTTTATACATTTATAACTAAAAACATAGTTGGATATAGATGGATTTAGAATGGTTTAGTTACTTCTCAACAATTCGAGTGTATCTATTCATGAGTGGATGTGTTAATATCTTTACTCACACACATAAATAGACAGACTCGAGTTTAAGAAAATCAACCAAATTATCTTAAATCTATCTGTATCCAAATCTATTTTACGTTGAGTATATATAGCATTTAGCGTTAATGTGGGACTTTTGCAAGATCGAGTCCCAGCTCTGATGGTGCTCGTCAATTGGGCGAACGAAATTTCAACCAGTGTTTACCCAAGACAAGAGAGGAGGTCTTGTAGACTGCGTCAATCTGAACGTTATACCAAAGCCAGCAGGTAATAGAACAACCGGATTCGGCCATTTGCAAAAAGGGCTAACCAAACCTTTCGGAAACATCAGAGATCTATTATGAAAAGATATGCCTCCTCGGAAAGTATTCCATCCTGAAGTGAGACAGTTTCAGTCATGCAATCAACGGTATCTCCTGATTTTATGGGTTGTACATGTTTGCTAGCTTCACTCGTACAACAACTAAGGACACAATTAGGTGGCTCTCCATTGGTGTGGGAGAGTTGCTAGAAGAGATGTCACAAATAAACGTCACCCGAAAGAGACGATCATTAAACTTCTGTATGTTACCTGTTTGTATGTGAGCTCCAATTTGGCCTATAAATACTATTTGTACCAAGAGACGTTATCTGCTGTCAAGTATGCGAAAAGACACAAAGCAGGGATAACACCTTTGTGTATGTTTATTTCCGACAGAAAAGACGCTTGTTGCATCGAGTCATGCTAGGAAAATTATACGAAAATTTTGGATTTCGAGTGAAAGTGTTTAGTGAAGAGATTCGACGGTCGATCTCACCAGAAAACGACGGTGGATTCCTCTTGACTAACTGTCGATTGACTCGAATAGAACATTCTTGTTGACGCTTTTGTCGATTCAGGTGAAAACATACGAAAACTTAGTATATCTTCATCGGAATCGAAGGAGATTATCTCGGAAATAGATTCTAGTAAACGCAGTCAATAGCTGATCAAGAGCAATCCGCCGATGATCGTCTTGTGGTGGGATCGACCTTTGAAGTAAGCTCAACAATTATGAAACAGGGGATTCTGCGAAAGCTAACCTTTCCTCGCATGACTAATTTCCTGTTCGGGAAGTACCTATTTGTCTGAATTAACGTTTTTGGGTCTTGGATCTTTTGTGAACTGTCGGATGAAAGAGATTCAAAGGCCGTCCTCATCATTAAATCTCGTAAGCTGGCTTTCGGTTTGGTTTGCTTGTCTGCCTCAGGTTCGTCCATTTGGGCAAAGTCTTCCTCGGTCAAGGGTCACCCGATCCTGATAATTTACCAGTTGAACCCCGACCGGGCAGGTTTATTCTACATGGTGGTACGGCTCGGGACTCAGGAATTCGGAGTCGTACCATTTGGTATCATACCAAAAGGTGTCATCTAGGCTGCCAATCAGGATCATTAGGGCCTTCGCATCTCATTCGCTTTCCTCCTCACAACTCCATGCAGTTCCAGGTGGCTAGTATCGTCTGAAGCGGCCTTAAGCTCGGCTTCATCTCGTTTGTCATCAGCTGATGTGGCATTAAGTTAAACTTTTTGTTGCACAAAAGTCAGGTAATGGATGTTTTCACGAGTCTGTTACGGCTCCACTCATTTGTCGAATTGGATGTATATCATGTTGGCATTTTGCAGAGCATTCTTTGAAGAGATTCCGATTGTCCACCTCTTCTACTCTTCACCCCAGCTAAACCCCATGTCCCCAAGCCCAGTGCCAGCGGCCTTGGTCCTGGTGCCAATTCACTTCGGCTCTCGAGCAAATTCAAGTGCGGCTTCGTTTTGTCCGGCCAGAAGAGTGAACTGTGGCTGCGACGCACGGCCAAGCTGACCGGCGGCCAGCGGGGCAGAGCCAGATCGCTGTCGAACCTCTTCAGCAGCAACAGTGGCCCCGGCGGCAGTCGAGACCGCGACTACGGAGTCGGATTCGCCGGTTTCACCGGACGCCGGCAGGGCAGCACCTCGGGCCGGTCGGCGCACAGTGATGTGATGCAACACACCCTCGACTCCATTTTCACCCTGGACCACGTAAGCTCATTGTCCTGCCGACAAGACGCGTTTGTAGAGGCCTGTCATGGCAACAAACTGCCGATAAATCCAAGCTTTTCAGTAGTCATGCCAGTAGCTTTGGGCTATCTATGCCTGACACACACATCACATCTTCTTCTATCAACCCACATAAGGACAGGCGCCATGCTCCTGTCGAGGGGTCAGCACCTCATTACCATTTCTGTCGAGGCCTAGTTACTAGACCTTGAATCACTACATTTAGGCGTTGGTGCACAAGAGACTGGGGGACAGGAATGTCATAGAGCAAAAGAGATGCAGTGGAGACTAGAAATAGTTGGTTAACCGTAGATTTTGGAGTACCTTTCATTTAGTTTGAAGAGGCGAGTGAAAGGGATTCGTAACTTGTTCTCACCGGAAGCTGAATAGAAATTGCCTTCGAGCTGTGACTTTCAATTTGTGCGGATGAGTTCTCGGCTCACCGTCCCGCGACCTTGATGCGTCCGATGTCTGACGGACATTGTCAGACAAGGACATCATGCTTTACGATAATTCACCAAAATACGAAGACAAAAAACGAGATAATAGGGGTACAGGAGATGTGTTTACTCTATTTCGTTTAGGCTATTGAAAGACCGGTAGTTAAATTCTCCCACAATCATATGAGAAGACCTAATGTTTCCATTGAATTTCACTTATATCGTGGTGGGAAAATTCGACTACCTGTCCTCCATCTCCTCAAACGAATTAGGGTGGACACATCTCATATTTTAGATTCACTAGTAGTCTCGAAGCCTTACTTGCAAAACGAAAAATAAGTACCATATTCATATCTTCACGAGTTCATCACCTTATTCGAAATAGGGTGAACACCTCTGATATAAATAAATAAATAAATATATATATATATGATTTATTGGTAGTCTCGATAATCTACGCGAAATTTAAAAAGAGAAAGGTAACCTTCGAAACCCAGTTTTTAGGCATAACAGCAGATGTGTTTGAGCATGGACGCTGCCCATAAAGTAAAGGTTGATCACGAGATTTACCCGGTTCACATGCCGAACAATGATAAGGGAATGAGCAGCGCCAAGCTATTTTTCCTTGTAACTTGAGAATCTGCAATTCGGGGGCTTGTTCCGTGAAGCTGGCGTATACGAGCTATTAAAGGCTTGAGGCAGAATTAAATCACATAACCAGGCAGATAAAAGACGAATTCAACGGAGCAAGAGAGAGACTCTGATAGGATCTGGAGGAAGAGGATTGCGGATTAACAGGAAAGACTTGGACGAAGATTCCCGGCACAGGGGGATAGGATGAGGGTATCAGCGGGGAGTGTGAATAGGTCTCCCTAATTCCTCTCAAAAGGGCGCTTTAGGTAAGCGGGCAAGAAATTGTGATAGTGAAGGGGTGTTACGAGTATGTCAGGGGGGGTGAATACACCAGAACAGGAAAGATAATGCAACAGTTTAGCAGACATTTGTTAAATGATCGACTTCATTTGTCTGGCAAAGCTTACGGACGATGCCAACGAAACGTCTGGGAATGTACCAAGTCCACGGTTCGACTATGGAAATTATCATACATAGCATGGACTCCGAACAAGATGCATTCCTACAAATATGACCAGGTTACGAAAACAAGTTCAAACAACTTCTGGCACAACGAAATGAGACCGAGACGATACTAAAGGCCACATCATCTTGGTTATCATACCTTCGATGAAGATTGTTAGTTGAACTCTCCGACAATTAAATTATTAGGCCTTATGATGCCATTGAAGTTGACAGGACACTGTCTCTCGGTTCGGCTGCCATTTTGACCATGCCCCATAGTTTTATCTTCCGCAAAAAAAGCGATTTGAACTCGGGTCTTGCTCGTCAGGCGGCAACAGGTCATCACTCTGGCAACAAACAATTGAAGCCAATGTATCACAAGGTAGATATAGCCTTCAAGACAATCCAGACATCTTCCCATTCCGATTTGTGGTGTAAATGTCGTCGAGGGGTACTTTTATTTCCCAGTATTCAAGTTCTCCATTTAGTCTATAAGCCTACTCACTAAAATCTTAGTAGTAGCATCGATTTTCGTGGCAAAGTCGAGTTTGCCTCTATAATTCGCCCCAATAATGAAAAATGTAAATTGGATTAAGCCTGGTTCGCCTTTAAAGTCGCATTTCTTTTGTAAATCATTGGAAGGCAGGGCAAATATTCAGTAATCTATAAATAGAAGCTGAGTTTCGGGGAGGTTTTGGGTTTATATGTATTCCGGTACATTCTGGATGACGCTGTCCCCGTGGCAATCCCCCTCTATTCCAGGGGCAACACCAGTCTGCCCTACCATGGACATCCTCAGAGCAGGGTATC